ATAATAAATAACAAAAATAGCTATAAAATAAATAACAAAATCAAGTAAGCCTAGTGGTTTACTTGATTTTGTTATTTATTATGTATCGTTTACAGGGGAATATAAGAAAAGTATTAGCAACAGTTTCATGCAAACATTTTGAAATTAATATTTCTAAGTAATGACCTATCTGGGAACCACTGTGCAATGGTTGTAGTCTAGGCGCACTCAGTGATGAGGTGGCCTAGTGTTTCCCATTTTCCCCATGGAATCTGCATTCGCCATTGTTTCTTAGCTTCATTCTACTGAGGTGTTCATTGAAAAGACAGTGCTCTGTTAGAAAACCTGTGACAATCCGAAGATGACATCCTGAGAAATTTCTTCGAGTGTCTTGTAATGAAGTTCATAAAATTTCTAGGACACCCTGTATATTGTGTTAATATTATACTAGAATAATAGGGACTTTATTTTCTTTTAATAATGACAGCCAATGTATTTTATTGTTAGATCATTATTGTAATGAACATTACAATTATAACATCATTAGTGTCCTTATTGTTGAATTAAACAAGTTAAATATTTAATTGCCATTTTGTAAGAGAGTTTTGATCGGTTTTGGTCGCTAAAGTTTAATGCGAAAAACCGAAACGTTTGCGCCGCTCTCCCTACTCTACTAGTGCAGGTTAAGTGGAGGGGTGCGCCAGTCGAGTACCTCGGCTGTAGCAGCTCCAGTTAGACAGTTGGTGGTCGCCCGTGAAACAGTGAGGTTCGAGTCCGGAGTGCCCTGCCAAGTGTCCTGCTGCTAGCCGCCTGTCGCCGCACTGTATAAGGTAAGCACCCACCGCCAACGTGATCGAGAGTAGGTCGTATTCTTTTTATTGTTAATGACGTTTGCTTTACTGCCTTAACGCGTTACAGGGATAAGGGAGACAGAGATATTTATATTCGCTCAGGTAGGCCGACTGTCCTCTACGGAGGTTGGGGGCTATTTGACCGAAACGCGCGAACGCAAAAAGATAGCAAAACTTATATTCGCTCAGGTAGGCCGACTGTCCTCTACGGAGGTTGGGGGCTATTTGATCGGATCACGTGGACGCGAGGAACGATTTCTTTTGTTAAAAGGGAGAGAGTGAGATAGCTAACGGTTAAGGTAGTACAGTAAACGCACGGGTCGCGAATTTTCACGGAGCTAAAACAGGACCTTGCCCAAATCCCGAGGCGGGTTTTGTAGCTCCCGTATTTTCTGGGTGTGTCGTCAGGACGGCACCCGCATCAGTGACGCTGGACAGGATCTCGCCGAAATCCCGAGGTTGTCCTGACCGGGCGGTGTGTGTGCGGGCTGCGCTTATCCAAACGACGTACAACTCGCCGAGACGTCGCTAACGTCTACGTCACTCCGGCACTCGCGTTTGTGTATCCCACGAGACGCTGTTAACTTCGCGATTGATCCAGAACTCGCGTTTGTGTATCACGGGACGCTTTTAACTTCGACGCCCATCCGAGGTCCGTGTTTCGTTGTCAAAACGGACGCCGTTCCGAGAAATATTTAGCTGTGACCATCGGGACGCCTGGAACGACGTCGCCGCCGTTTAGAGAGTCGCGTCGTAGTAGAGTGTGTTGCTTCGGTACTTACGTGTCTGTGTTCATTAGGACGCCGCTAAATTCGACGCCGATCAGGAACTCGCGTCGTTTTATTTAATAGAACGTCATTTCGGGAACGCGTTTTGAATTCACGGGATAGAATCAGTCAGAGAGTTACGTATCGGGAATAATCGATCAAAACTCTAGAGGTACACGGTTGTTATTGTAAATTTTACTTTACGGGTCTTTAAATATACATTTTATTTCACTATTGTTACGATTCGAGGACGTGAACCTTCCTGGATTATTTTTGTACATAATTAATTAGTTAAATAAAAACCTAGTGTTACGTTATAGTTAATTGTGTGTTTTATTTTCTTTTCATCTCATCACTCCCTGGTATCTCCACTGTATAAAAGCTACCCGTATTGGCGCTAGTGGTCTCTCAAACACTTTAAACGTTGGGGGTGGCGCCCGAGGAACCGAACCAAGGCAACTCGGCGTCCGTGACCTTTCTCTAAAACGGGGGAGCGTCACAGTCTTAGACCGTTGCGTTGGATGATTCCCATTCCAGGTTACCGATGGAGTCTTGAGTTGGTTTCCATTTGGGAAGCAGAACGGTTCTAGTCCAGTTAGTGAAGTGTTGGCTACTTTTCTAGCTAGAGTGTTTGTTTTTTCATTACCTATGTCTCTCCTACCTATCTCTATCTCTGAGTGGGCTGGCACCTTAGCGCCTCTCCTATTCAAGTCAAGGGCAGTGTCTTAGTGCCTCTCCTATTCAACATATTTATGGCAGCGCTCTCCATTATAGTGGACAGCAAACTGCAGGAGAGAGGATTGGGCATTAGATACAGATACGACGGCGGTCTGTTCAACATAAAAAGACTCAGGGCAAAAACACTTTGGGCCTTAAGCTAAATATCAACATAACCAAAATCATGTGTACTCCCCCGGAAAATCACAACAATGCTATAAAAATCGGAGAAGAGCTATTGGAGTATGTAGCGGAATTCAATTATCTCGGCAGTTTGATTTCGGAAAAGGCCAACATCGACTCTGAAACTCAGCACAGGATTAGCAGCGCCTCAAGAGTATTCTGGAAATTGAAAGACAGGGTTTTGTACAATCATGACTTGAGTACAAAAACTAAACTTGAAGTGTACCGAGCAATTATAATCCCCACCTTGTTATATGGGAGCGATACCTGGGTGCCGTAACCAGGGTTTGGAAGTAGTTAATTAAGACATAATTTACCTGATTAACTACATGTAGTTTTTACTTCAAAATCTACGTCTTTTCCCGTTCATTAACTACATGAAAACTACGTTAATAAACTATCTATTGATATTATGATTAATTTTCATTTGTATGAGGTGTAATAGAGATAATATGATGTAAATATTATATTTAAAGCCATATTTCTTCTGTTTTCTTAAATACATTAAGTGTTTTTAAAGCTTCAACTTATTATAACCTCACATGAAGGCATTAAACAAGTTGCAAGACACCTTAGACAACTTTTAAGAATCCGATGGTTCCATCATGTTTTAAACGTGTCGGTTTTTGAAAAAGCTAACTGCGAGAGTTTTGGAGTCATGGTTACAAAATCCCGCTTAAAATGAGCTGGTCACGTATGCAGAATGCAAGAAAACCGCTTACCAAAATCTCTGCTTTACGGTATAACTCAGTTAACGGCGGCAACCAAAAAGTAAAGAGGCAGAAAAGCAATGAGATTTTTGAATGTACGGAGTGCGGTAGGCAGATAACATCACGTATCGGGCTTTTCAGTTACAGAAAAGCTTATGAAAGAAAACGCCTGGCGTGACCATCTTCTGATACGTGTCAAATACTCGTCAGCAAGTAATGGCAGTATGTATGTATACTCTGTTTTTTTTCTCAGGTAAGATTTCGACAGACGATGACAGAAGAAAAGCAGATGACGTCCCATACCAATCTATTTATTTTACTAAAAAAAGTTTCTAATAATTTTTAAGTTATCTATGGATGGGTTTAAATATAAATCCGTCATAAGTCGTGTCTTGTTGTTTTTAACCAGTTTTATTGGTTTATTTAAAAAATGACAGATTGTATTTCATTTTTATTGGTTTGACGGAACGTTGAACGACAAACGGACACCGATGCATATGAACTCGCCTTTAGATTTTTGTCATTTTTGACGCTTGTCAAAGTCTTGCCAAATTATAGGTTATAATTTTCTGTCAACTTTTGTTAAATACCCTGCGTTTTGGAAGATGATGCATTTTGATTCGTATTATTACTTGTGTTTTGTGTCTTTTGAAGTCAAGTGGAGGAAAAATCGAGTGAAAATTAACTGTAGACCCAGAGCACAGTTTATGGTTAATACTCGCTGTCCAGGCAGAAAATCTTATACACCAATGAAGTTGCCATCGATAAAGTTTGTATACCTACCATTTCGTCGTAGATAAGTGCATCTCGTATATGGTAGAAGGATCAAACTAAACATATACTAAAAACTGGAGTAGCTGTAAAATATCGACATCACACGAGAGGTAAATAATGGATTTTAGTACTGCAGAAAAATAATGTCCAAAGGTCCCGGTTTAAAAAAATTAAGATTAAAGTTAATTAATCAACCTTTAAGGTATAAAATTTGGTAGGTGTTATTATTATTAAAATAGTTTGTTTTATTTACCTATGTTGTTTTATTTGTTCCTGTGGAGTATTACAAATTTGTATTTGTACATAAGTTATATTGATAAATATAATCATAAATGCGGGTAGTTTCATAAAGCTTGAAAGTAAATAATAGTTCTTTTTTATATTTTTTGGTATGTAGTGTTTTGTTCTTGCTTGTTTTGTATTAACACATACCGTTTTTATTAAATAAAATAACTCGATTACATTTTTGCAAAGGTGCTTTGGAAATGTTTTCATAGAAATACAAAATTTTCCATAGCAAAAAAGTTACAGCGATTTGTTAAAAATGCACATTTTTTAAAAACACCCCGTAACTCCGAAACGGTAACAGATATTGATGTGCGGTTTTCACCATCATGTTTTTGATGAAAATTGAGCTCCAGACACCGATATTAGGTTTCGTCTATCTCCTATAGAAAAGGGTGTTTCCATTTAAAAGCGTCGAATTTGATCCACCCTGTACGTATGTATGGGCTGGCACCCAGAGTAGGAGCTTTTTATTTTATTTGCCTAATTTGCTCAGCTTCTCTAGAAGTCTTATCTACATTCTACTAACCTACCTATTCCCTTTGACAACTCAAGAAACATACGATATAGGTTTCGGACTTTCCCCTAACGCCTCGTAGAACGACCAAATACAAGCCACAGTATACTTACCGAGACCGACTGACGTAAGACCAGGTGAATGTTAAAATAATAACTATTCCGCGACAACAGCGTGAATGGACTCTTAACGCCACACCATTCGTACCTACGCGAGGTAGGCCGTGCCCGCCGAGAAGGACGCCGCGACGTTCAGTTGTCTTGCCGTCCGTTTCGTTGCAGTTTGTCGGTGCGCCAACGAATCCGCCGCCGTTTCTTGCGAGCGGGCGATGCGCGTTTGTTTCCGTTCGTCGAGATCGTCGTTCGTTTGTTTTGGCCGTGTTTGTTTTTGTTTTTTCGACGCCAGGGTGGAAAGCTAGACAAAAGCGCATCGGCGGGGTTGTGTGACTGTGTTAAGCTGCTGCTCAGCGTCTTTGATCCAGGATGGTGTACTAGGCAGGATTTTGTTGCTGGATTTCCCGATGATGGGACGGTGTTTAGGGGTTGATGAGGACTGTTTTCAGAGAGGTGAGGAGTTTAAAAAGCAGCAGTGTCAATAAGCTGCTAAGTTCTTTAAATATTTTAAACTTAGTATAGGTCAGCGGTTTCTGTGCACACGTATATTTTGGGTTAATGATAACCGTCCAATATAAAAGAAAGTAAGGATCGAGACTGGTTTTGGTCTTGTGGTCTTGGTCTTGATTGTCGTGCATGACCAAGACAGGCATTTGATCTGCAAGACCAAGATCAAGAGCGACCAGTGCAAGACTTCCACAAGACCAAGACCATGCATGATAAGACTCTTACGATCTTGCATTTTTGTCGGGTTTATATGATATAAGAAATAAGAAATTACTTGTTTGTTCAATACTATTGTTTTAACTTATTACGAATTTAGTGTTATCCGACTATTGCACAAAATATTAAAGAAAAAATGCTGATTCAATATAATATATTGGAAAATAAAAATGTTGGCAGACAAATATTCTAATAATGTTTTTCTTTAAAGTTCAATTTACATTAAATTACTAAAAAGACTATACCGGGTGCGTCTTGACAGTGGCCCACCCTTATAACTTTTTTTTCAGATAAATAAGCGAAATTTGGTATTTTAGTATATGACATAAATTAGGATTGATTGACATATTCAATTGTTTTTGGTCACTTCCTGCTTCACCGGAAATGACTACAACTTTTCATTATTAAATGGCACCCTCGGTATATTTCTACTTTATCCTATAGAAAATGACACTCTGAGTAGAATGACATATCATATGTCATCTTTTGACATTTTCGCTTAAAAACAGATTGGATCGTCTGATGTGTTTTATGTCTGGTCCTGATTTTTTCAAATAGAACAGGGGTGACTTATTAGCATATTTGGAAAAAGCATTTTTTTAAAATAATTTGGTACCACATACTTGGTATGTCGAGTTAAATTGTCGTTATGAACCGAATGTGACAATTCCAAATAAACCATATACGAAAATGTCAAAAGTTGACATGATATGTCATTCTATTGTTAAAATCTCTAGTCTCTATGTCAAAAGTTGACATATGAGTGTCATTTTCTAACGAATAAAGTAGAAATAGACCGAGGGTTCCATTTATAGTTATACCTAGAGGTGAGCCACTTTTTAGATGCAACCGGTATATTTAAAAATTTTCTATGTAGAGAGTACCCCTAGTAAAAATCTATTGAAAAAAATGCCTGCAAGTGTCTTCCGGTAAGACCAATATCAATACTACTTATTAATTGCAAGACCAAGATCAAGACTCCCTTCGTCTTGGTCTTGGTCTTGCATTTGCATAAAACATGACAATCAGGTTTTCCCTTTATATTGGCTGACAAATATTACAAGCGAATAAGCGGATATTAGAGACTAAGTCTGAGAATTGATGAACTTAGATATATATGTTTGGAAATATATCTGTGTAATATCCTTTCAACTTACTACAATTAAGATTGTAAATTATTATTGTGAAAAATCTGATTACCCAGACCTAGACCTAGGATCTAATCTCTATTTTGAATGATCCCATAACATTTTTTGTGGTATATAATTTACCATACCTAAATTATTATTTAGTACACAACAGAAACTGCCTTATTTTATTCCATTACAATTATTGAATTATTAATTGTCAAGCATCTTGTTATTATATACAGAGAACTGATGAAGATTTTACTAAATATATTGCCGTAATTTCGTTTAATGATGATACAATATTTGGAAATTGATAATTACTATTTACAGAGAGAGGTGAAAAATCTTATAATCGGCACTGTAAATAAGTGCTAAATAATAAGTTTTCTTCCTGTGATATTTTATGAAATATTCTAAATAATATCTAGGAAAGTAGTAATATGAATACTATCAATACCATAGAATTCAATTAGTTTTTGCACTATAAAAAATATAGGTTTCTAGGTAGACATTATGTAAAACAATGCAGTTTGTCAATCAACTTATTATTCATCGAAGAAGCAATAATAATGAGAACAAGGATATAAGTTGACGGTTTCTTTTTTCTATTGATACATTGGATCTCTACCTATCATCCACTATTATCGCTATTTCATCCACTATTTTATTTTTATATTGAGTAGAAATGATTTTTAAATGGCGAATTACAAAATTCAAGGAAAAATATTTTTTTGGAAATAAGCTGGTGCGTCTGCAAAAGTTCTATTTTTTTAATTTTCCTATAATTAGTGTTTTATGTCAATTTTTAAATAAGTTTGATGTCAATTTTTAGTAAATGACATCTTGAGATTGACCTCGCCAAAATTATCATGGACTACCATTACCCACAGCTGTGTTTTTTTATCGTACGGTATTTAATATACACTTTTGTGAGTTATATTAAGCTTGGGGACAAATCATGCTTATACATATATTAAACAGTTGTGTGTAATCTAATAAAATTATTGTTTATTGTATATTATGTTTTGAATATATTGCATGAAGACTTGTTGATAACATGGAAAGAATCATTATAACTGGTAATGTCAAAAGAAAAAGATGTAGAGGCCGATTCCCAATCAAGTCACATAAATAACGCATACATAAATAACCCTACATTCAGCTGCAATCCATCGACCTGTAGAAAGCCTGGAAAGAACTCATCAACCAAAAACCATTCTCATAGAAGTCACGACCCTCAGCCATGAGAAACGATTGGAGAAAGAATTTAAAGAGTTGTATGTAAGCTAATAAAATTGTTTATTATATATCATATTAAAAACAAAAGTATTTCGTGAAAGGGGAATATAAAAATATAAATAGGTTATTTCTTGTAAACACTATTGCATAAATGCAGAGACTGGCATGTATTCAGATGAATGCTAGATTGATTCAGACAATGATTCAGATCACAGGAGCCATGAAATCTGCTTAACATCAGGGATGGAAATCATCTAGACCTAACACTACTGCACTGACGGAGAACTACCCTCTGTAGAACCGTCTCAGATACCGGCTCTGGTCAAAATCCCGAGACTGTATGATGAGTTATAACTCAAGGAAGGGGGACACAATAGATCTATAAGGTCGCGGTGATTAACTTCCCTCTGGAAACGAGCTTGTGGGGGGTTTTTGGTCGTAAAAGAAATTTACCCAATCAACAAACAATGCTTAACATCTGAGAAAATACAGGGTGGCCCAATATTCCGTAGACATAGAACTACTATGTATTTTTGGATCAAAATAAGTTCATTGGATACAATTTACCTTTACACAAAAGCGCTTCGTTTGTCCGCTAGAGGGCATCAAACTTTAAAAACATAAACATATTTTTTCAGATATTTTAAGAATCGTTAGTCCGATTTGAATGAGATTTTGGATGTTTTGCTAAATGCTTTAACATATGATTTTTACAAAAATCAAGAAAATGTACGGAAACGGTGAAAACTACCCCCACCCCTACAGATAAATATTTCCAACTCCTCCGACGACAGATTTTCTATTCGTAAAATGGTCCTTCTAGTATTTAATACATTTTTTGTCTCTTGTAAAAAAGGCTACATCGCATAGTTTTTGTGAATAACAATATAAAATTCACCACATACGACACGGAGTATTGTAGCTAAACGATTAGATTTTTAGAAATTGTAAGTTTTGGGTTTGTTGAAGGACTATTAGAGCTACAATTTAAAAATATTTTTACAAGATACATAGTGTCTCAAATAAATCAAAAATATCAAAGTTTTATTTTTTTAAATGGAACACCCTGTATATTATTGCATTTTTAGTTTCTACGATTAAAATAAAGATATATTTGATTAAGGTTTATTACACTTAAACCTTAGCGTTTTTGAAATATTTTCAATTTTGTGAAATTGAAGTATAAATTTTAAGGCTTCATTTCTCCGAGGGTATCAAAGTTTTTAATACTAAATATTTACTGAAGTTTATTTATTGATCAGTTATTGCGTTGCAATAATAAAAATTATACTACCTTATACAGAGTGTCTAAAAATTTATTTTAAATAATTACTAGCTTTAAACGGCAATAACTTGTTTAATTTAAATAGAACACCCTGAATATTTTATGAGAATCAGATGCACAATTTAATTGTCTATCAAATTGTATTTTATCACTTTTTACCTATCCCTTCAAGTTTTCGTAGAATTAATCAATATACCCATGGAATATTGACATTTTAGGTTGTTTTTAAAACAACAAATGTACAAAAAGTACAGGCTAGTAATATTATCCTTTTTAGTAAAACGATAATATTACTAGCCCATTTGTATGCAAAAAGAAAACTATTTAAATCTTTATAAAAGAGTATACCATTAATTAAATATACCGTATTTCCGCCCAAATACTAATTAATTACATACTTAATTGTGTTCGTTAATAAATTATTCTAAATAAATGTGGATTTGAATCAGAAATCAATATAATAATAAGTTATGAAAATGAACGTCTCTGTTGTTATAAATAAGCATTTGTCAAAAAATGAAATATCATTTTTAAGGTGTTTTTTTACCACACTGTCTAATACACATACATAATTCAGTTTTTTAGTATTTGGAGCAATTATTATTAATCAACGCAAACAGTCAATTAATGTAGTTTGAATACTGGAATCATATTAATTGGTCCTCTTTAACAAATATTTAAACAGTTTTTTTTTTATTTTTTAATGAAATAAACGAACTATATCGACAATATTAGTATCTGTAATCTTTAATAATTTGGTACATCTTTAAAAATAATCTAAAATGTCAGAATTCCACGGGTTCTACATAATCTGTTTGATAAATGAGTTCTAAATTACAAGAAAATGCATTTTCTACGGAAACTTGAAGAGATATGTAAAAAATTGCATAATACAATTTAATAGACAATTAAATTGTGCATCTCATTCTCATAAAATATACAGGGCGTTCCATTTAAATTAAACAAGTTATTGCCGTTTAAAGCTAGTAATTATTTAAAATACATTTTTAGACACTCTGTATAAGGTAGTAAAGTTTTTATTATTGCAACACAATAACTGATCAATAAATAAACTT